TGCATGTGAAAGTGGGATATTGAACATGGAACAGCAAAGAGGAGTCAATACATTTGAATTGTGGTGCTGATGAGGACTATTGAAAGTACTATGGACTGTCAAGAACACAAACAGATCCATTTTGCAAGTACTACAGCCAGAATGTTCCTTAGAGGCGAGACTTGAAAAAAGACGTTGTACTTGGTAAAATAGAGGGATGTTGAAAAAGAAGACCTTCCACAGCTGGATTGACACAGAGGCTGCAACAACACTGGGCTCAAACACAAGGCCGCTTGTGAGGAGGGCACAGGACTGGGAGGTGTTGCGTTCCGTTGTCTACCGGGGCTCTATGAGTCAGAACTGGCTTGGTGGCACACGACAACAAAAAGTTTCAAATGAGACCAATTCGATAAAAGAGCTAATTAGCTAATAAAACAGAGATTTCCAAAATATGAACTACTTCAAGAAAAGATAGATAAAGTGATTCAAGAAATGCCACTGGTACCATCTCTCTTTTTTCATCCCCTCGTTTTTCTTACCTCTGTGTTTGCACACCTGGCTTCATAGCTATTTCATGCTGCTGGAGGAGAACTACCACAAGCGATTGACTTAAATGAACAAAATGTATTTTTGTACAGTTTCTGAAGCTGAATGTCCAGCCATAGTGGCAGATTTTCTCTCCACATTGGCTCTTCTTTCTCCTCCCCTGGTCTACCAAATGCACATGTCCCTGGTATGTCTGTTGACCTTATCAATCTATCTGCTATCTAGCTGAATGTGGAGTCACTGGGGTGAATTCTGCCCTGGGCCTGAAAGATAGCTAAAATAGCTAAAGGGTATAGTCTCAATGAGGTTCCATCAGTCTCTGTAGAACCCACGAGCCGGTCTTCTTTATGATTTTAAGATTTGTTCCACTTTTTTTGTCCATTGTAGTCAAACCTCCTATTGCGAGTCCTTATCAACTGCTCAGCGGTGGTAGCCAGACACCATCCAGTTCTTCTAGTCTCAGGGTCATTGGAGGTGGGGTTCCTGTGGTTCATTAGTCCTTTGGACTAACTGTTTCCATGTGATTTTTATTGTCTCCACTCTTCTTTGCTCGGCATGGGAAAAGGCATCGTTGCACCTTGGACAACTAACAAGCTTTTAATACTCAGTTGATCCCCACATAGGATGTAAAACATTGTCTTTGTGGCCCCTGTTGTGCCAATTGAACTTGACATCCACCAAGACGAGGAATATAATCTGTCCCTCAAGGTATTTGGTTAGGCTTAAAATGTGCAGAATTTAACAGTCCTGGAAAAGGACATCATTCCAGGAAAAATAGATGGTCGGTGAAAAAGCAAAAGGCCCTCACCAGGATGGACTGATGAATTGATCCAGCAATGGGCTTAGACATAGCAATGATTTTTGAGGCTGGTGCAGGACCAAGCAATGGTGTATATCAGATTGCTATGAGGAACAGAAATCGCACGCTATACTATATCAATGGATGGATTCAGCACCCTTGTAACCACGTGTGTAGGAAATACCTCTGTCGAACTTACATAGATTCGTGGGTATAGTCCCATTTGCCTTCCACCTATCCAGCTTCCTTGTCTAGGTATCCATTTGTACAAAGGTGGTTATTGTTCCCCAATTGTAAATATCATTGTATTTATCTTTGCTGTCTTTAACTCTTGTATTCCTTTTTGAGCATTTTATGCTGACCCCCCCAGTTTATGTATATTGCATTTACTTTGACCTAAGTAATATCTATCCTCTGTT